ATTCAGAGCCCTGGAGGGTGAGATCGCCTCGGTGAGGCGGGAAAAAGACGTGGCCTGGGGGTGGGTCTGGGGGTCTGAATAGTCAGAGCTCAGCAAAAGGAGGCCAAGGAGGAGCAGCTGGCGGGGTCAGAGGGGAACCAGGACAGGGTGGTGTTCTGGAAGACCAGAGACCGAAGTTTCAAAGAGGAGGGAGAGCTCAGGGGTGTCAGAGCTGCTGAGGGTCGAGTTCGGTGAGGATGGAGATTGGCCATTGGATTTAGCGACATGGGAGTCACTGGTGCCCTCCACCTGAGCCGACTGGTAGAGAGTGTGGGGTGCAAGTCCCAGGAGGGTTGCACGCATGCCAGAGAGAGCAGATGAGAGGTGGGAGACAGGAGTGCAGACAAACTTAGGAGGTTTTGCTGTAAAGGGGAAAGGGAAGTGGGGTCCCCGTCCTCAGCACTGTGGGTACAGGACCAGGTTGGGAGGTAGGTTTGGGAGGGCTTCGGCAGGTCAGTGCCCGGGGCCACCGGTGGCCTCTGCACCCTCCCAGGAGGCCCTTCTTCATGTGGCTCACAATGTCCATTGTCCCTGCCCTGCAGTCCATGCTGCTCCTGGCCCCGAAGCTGAACGAGGCCAACCTCAATGTGGAGCTGATGAAGCACTTCGCTCGGCTGCAGGCCAAGGACGAGCAGGGCCCCATCCGCTGCAACACCACCGTCTGCCTGGGAAAAATCGGCTCCTACCTCAGCGCCAGTGTGAGTGCCCTGCACAGCGGTCAGTGCTCACTGTCACAGGACCGCAGCCTCCTCCGGGGCCAGGCCTCCTTGTTTGTGAACCATCTTCCTCGCAGAGACCTCGGTCCTAGGTCCTCCCAGCCCAGATGTCTGAGGGTGGAGTGCGTTGTGCCAGGTCACACAGCCAGTAGGTGGTGGATCTGGGAACCGAACCCGGGCCTGCTGGGCCCCACAGCCTGTGTGCACCCTCTCAGCCAGGTTTTGTAAATGCAGACACTGCAGTGCCCAGATAGTTGACAGGAATGAATGAATTGGGTCAGTGGGGCAGGTGGGAAGGAGGCACCACCCCCACCCCAGGGCAGCTGCTGCTCCGGCCCCTGTCACCTTGTTAGTCCAGTGATCTGGGGGGAGAAGCCGAGATCCAGAGTTTTAAGTCAATTCTCCCCCACTTGTTAGTGACTAACCCATTTTTTAGCCTCTGGGAGCCCTGTGGACGGACGGCCTCTGCTCTGGGAAGTGAGGCCTGGCAGTTCTGGGCCCCAGGACTGACCCTACACTCGGGGGCCCTCTCTCCTGCTCCACCCCAGACCAGACACAGGGTCCTCACCTCCGCCTTCAGCCGGGCCACTAAGGACCCGTTTGCACCGTCTCGGGTTGCCGGTGTTCTGGGCTTTGCTGCCACCCACAACCTCTACTCGATGAATGACTGCGCCCACAAAATCCTGCCCGTGCTCTGTGGCCTCACTGTGGATCCCGAGAAATCTGTGCGGGACCAGGTGAGGCATAAATGGGGCCTGGCCCTGGAGCTGGGGTTCGGGGGGATATGTGGGCCCTAGCTGGCCTCTTGGGCTCACAGGAGCCCTGGAGGCCCCAGCTCTGCCCCTTGCTACCCCACAGGCCTTCAAGGCCATTCGAAGTTTCCTTTCCAAACTGGAGTCTGTGTCAGAGGACCCCACCCAGCTGGCCGAAGTGGGTGAGTGGCCCACACTCATGTTCCCTCCTGCTACATCCTTGACTGCTACGTGTTTTGGCCCCCTTCCACCTCGTTGGAGTATCTGAAAGCTGGAAGAACCCTAGAGAGCAGACTTGATACTACTCTCCCCACCCCCATCTTGCAGATGAGGGAAGGCAGGCTGGAGAAGGGGTGCCCACTCTAGATCCCTCTGTTGCCCTATCACACTCCCCATGGACCCCTGAGGCGCCTACACCTGTCTCTCTCCTATCACTGCCCAGAGAAGGATGTCCATGCCGTCTCCAGCCCTGGGATGGGAGGAGCCGCAGCCAGCTGGGCAGGATGGGCTGTGACAGGGGTCTCCTCGCTCACCTCCAAGCTGATCCGTGCACACCCCACGGTTGCCGCAGGGGAGCCCAATGTCTCCCAGAGACCCACGCCTGAGGGTGAGTGTCTCAGACCGGCTGCATCAGTGGCAGAGGGTTTGGAGGTGCTGGCACCCAGGAGCTATTCTTGTCTGACTCCCCCTGGGGTGGTGACATAGGGGACAAGGTTGGATCTAGTCCCCTTAAGAGCTTCCCCTCCCTACACTCTGCCCCCACCCCCAGAAACCTCTGCCCTGTTCTGAGACTTTTCTGGGCCCCAGTGTGTGGGAACTCAGTGAGTCTCTGCTTCCCAGGACTTCCTGCCCCGGCTCCCACCCCTGCCCCTCCCACACCCGTTACCTCAGGACACTGGGAGGCACAAGAGGAGGGCAAGGACACAGCAGAGGACAGCGGCGCTGCCGACAGATGGGATGACGAAGACTGGGGCAGCTTGGAGGTGAGTGGGGCTGAGGGGGCCTCCCAGGGGGACCCCAGCTTAAAGGCCACAGGCTGCCATTCAAGGGCTCCTGTGGGCTTGGCTTGTCTCAGGCCTGTCCTCACCTGCATCCCTGGTGAGTAGACATCATGGAGCGGCCACTGTGGCCAGAGCTGGCAGATGAGCTCCCCTCACCTCCAGGGAGCAGGGTGGGCAGTGAGAGGCCGGAGGGCACGGGTTGGAGCAGCCCACTGAGCCTCCCTCTCGCCTGTCCCTGTCCCTCCACCTGCTTCAGAGCCCAGCTAGCCCCAGTGCTCAGCAAGGAGAGGCCACTCCCAGGCCTAGATCCAGACCAGTCCTCCTTGGGGGAGGGGGGTTCAGGACAGGCTGAGGATGGAGTGGGGCTTTGGGCCCAATTTCCCCATCTGCCTGACTGCAGTTTTGGGGAAGGGGTGGAACTCTGGATCTCATTCCCAGCCTAGAAGAGTGACGGAGGCCAGGTTCAATGTGTGCACCTTATAGATGTGAAGCAGGGCTTGAGGAGCAAATGAGGTGAAGGCAAAAGAAAAAACAGTGGAACCCCTGGCTAGGAAGGGGCTGGAGGGCTTCCTGCCCTTTTGGGTTGGAGGTGGGGGGTGGTCCTATGGTCTTTCTCTCCTTTCCACACTGTAGCAGGAGGCCGAGTCTGTATTAGCTCAGCAGGACAACTGGAGTACTGGGGGCCAAGCCAGCCGCGCTGGGCAGGTGAGCTGGATGGGGCAGGTGTGTGTCTGCATGGAAAGCTGCGCCTGGCCCCTCCCTGTCTGGTGCTACCTCCCCCTTCTCTTCTGCAGACCAGCAACCCTGACCACAAATCTCCCGAGTCGGACTGGAGCAGCTGGGAAGCTGAGGGCTCGTGGGAGCAGGGTTGGCAGGAGCCAAGTCCCCAGGAGCCACCCCCTGAGGGCACTCAGCTGACCAGCGAGTATAACTGGGGTGGACCAGAGCCCAGTGACAAAGGCGACCCCTTTGCTGACCTGTTGGCGCGTCGGGAGGTTGGCACCCAGGTACTCAACTCCAGTCCAGTGGGAGGGTGCAGACCTGGGAGGGATCTCCACAGGGAGCTGGTCTCCAATTCAGGCCATGCTTCCTTTTTCAGCCAAGACCTGATTCGTGGGGTGATGACAACTGGGGTGATGATGGCCTGGAGACGGAGAGCCGTAAGTGCTTCCCCGAGGAGGGCTGGCACACCAGGGCAGTCCTCGCCTCCCCCTCCAGCAGGCCTCGGCTGGGAATCAGACCCACTTGTCCCGAGGCCTCAGCCTGCCTCCCCTTCCTGTTTCAGGGCAGGCGAAGGCTGAGCTGGCCCGGAAGAAGCGGGAAGAACGTCGGCGGGAGATGGAAGCCAAACGTGCTGAGAAGAAGGCCGCCAAGGGCCCCATGAAGCTGGGGACCCGGAAGCTGGACTGAACTGCTGGTGTGGGTGCTTCCGGCCACGGGGAACAGCCCCATGGATGTATTTATTGTACAAACCATGCCAGCCCGGCCACCCGGCCAGGCACATCTCACATGTACATAATCAGAGCCACAATAAATTCTATTTCACACCCCTGTGCTGGGCTCCATCTGCCCCTCCGAGGAGGCTGGGGTCTGGCACTGCCCTGCGGAGTCCATGCCTACCACGGAGGTGAACATACAATTTGCTTCAAAAGCCAAGAATAAAGAGACAGGATCTGATTTATCAGTTTCTAGGAAACACCCTCTGGGAGGAAGGCCGACAGCGCCCGGGAGACCCAGCATCCACCTGTAAACCAGGTGGAGCCAGATGGGCCCCCTCGGCACACGGGGCCCTGAAAGGGGTCTACAGGCCTGGCGGGTCCCTGGGTCCGACCCCGAATCGGGGCAGAAGGTAGAGGCTGAGCTCGCCCCCGTGTCGGGCAGAAACCGCTTGGTGATCGCTGAGGTCCCGGTTGAACGTGGTGTCAGCGGCGACGCTGGGGACGCTGGGACACGCAGGCCCCGTGCGGGCGGATGCGCGCGTAGCCAGGTTTGCAGACACAGCGGAAGGAACCGCTCGTGTTTACGCAGCGCTCGCTCTTGCACAGCAGACCGCGCTGGTTCAACTCTCGGCACTCGTCGATGTCTGGAGGTGGGTGACAGGTGTGGGCTTGGCGAGGAGACCGGAACTGCACAGCCCCTGAGCTTCTGGTCCAGGCAGGATGACACATGGCCCCGCCCCGCCGCCAGCCTCTGGCCCCGCCCCCTCCGCCCAGCTCACCCACGCAGCGCGCTCGGGAGGCGTCAAGCTGGAAGCCACCGGGACACTCGCACACGGCGCCGCCGGGCCGCAGCACGCAGCGGCCGCTCACGCAGCGGCACTCGTCCGAATCCTCCTCGGAGCTGTCCTCCTCTGCGCAGCCAGCAGAACAAGACGTCAACACCGCCCAGTGATGGCCTGACTCCCGCCTGCGTCCCCTCCCTACACTCACCGCGCGGTGGCTTCCCCAGCAGTAGGGGGCTCGCGTCCCAGAAGGAATTGCTCTCACTCTGCGATGTGGGGCACTGAGATCCTGGGAGGGGCAGTCAGTGGTCAGCGTGGTCAATGCACTCAGCTCCTGCCCCCAGTTCCCTCGGGGCCAACCCTTCCCCTGGTCGGCTCACCAGCTCCGCGTGGCGGGCACGGGCGGCATTGGGCACCCCAACCGCGGCCCTGGCGACAGCAACAGTCCTCAAAGGTGAGGGTGGGCCCAGCCAGGGGGCGCGCACACATGCCGTCCTCTCCGCGCTGGGCCCAGCACACGTCCCGCTGCTCCGGGGCACGCTCTGCGGAAGGGGACCTGTCAGGGAGAAGCCCAACGCAAGGACCACCCCCCTGCGCCCCAAGGCTTCACACAGCAGAGGGCCCTGGAGTCCGTGCGATGACCCTCGCCCTCGCCCTCACCAGCCGGGCTCTCGGGGAGCTGGCAGTCTCGGCCAAAGGGCCCGGGCACCCAGGGCGGGCGACACTCGCAGCGGTAGGAACCCGGTAGGTTGACACAGCGGCCAGGGTGGCAGGCTGCGGGGTCCTGACACTCGTCCACGTCTACGGACAGTGAGGGTATGGATGGGGGAGGTGTCACAGCTCCTCCCAGGCCACCGCCTTCCTCCTGTTTCCCCAGCCAGCACGCCGGGCCTCACCCATCTCCTCGGGGCTCAGACACTGTCGCTGGGCAGGGCTGTACTCGGCCGGGGGCGTGCAGGCGCAGCGGTAGCCGCCCCGTGTGTTCTCACACACTCCGTTCCGGCAGTTGGACTCGTCCAAGCACTCGTCCACGTCTGCAGGGAGGAGAACCCAGGCGGTAGCAGCCGGCCCGGGGTCATGCGTGTCTCCTGGCCGCCTTCCCCTGGCCGCCGGGCCCTCGGCACTCACCCACGCACTCCAGCAGGTTCCCGTCGTAGTAGAAGCCCTGCTTGCAATAGCACTCGTAGCCGGGCTGTGTGTTCACGCACTTGCCCTCCTTGCAGATCTCCGCCCCGAACAATATGCACTCGTCGATGTCTGCGGAGTGACAAGCCGTGAGCGCACAGCAGCCTCTACCTGCGGGGCCACTGCGGCCTGGCCAGCCCGGACCCGTGAGCCAGGCTGACCACCGGAGCAGAGCACGCTCCGTGGGAGAGGCTTTTCCCGCCGCTCAGTGAGTGATGGGGGCGGGGCTTGGTGGAGGGGCGGGGCCGGCGATGGCGGTGTGGGCGGCGCTTACCTCGGTGGGCGGGGATGCCGTAGTTGACAATGTTGTTGTCCTGGGTGTAGCCCTTGCCATCCGGGCAGAGGCTGTGGAACTCCGCTGCGGAATGAGAGCGGAAGGAAGGAGGCAGGGTTGAGCAGCACGTGCGTGCCTGCCTGCGTGCTGGCTGCCGTTTCACCTCGGAGCTCCCAGCTTCGTTCCCCCCCAATCCATTTCCTAATGAAGAAACAGGTTCTAGGAGGGAAAGGGCCTGCTGGCTCCTGACCTGAGCTGTAGACCGGGCAGGGATAGATCTCACAGTGGTCTCCCCAGCCAGCCCCCAGCGAGCAGCAGCACTCCTGCTGGGTGACGTTGGTGGCCAGCACACTGTCGCAGAACACCGTGTCATCGAAGTTCAGGTAGCACTCCTTCTTGTGGTGGGGCTGCTCCACCTCTGAGGGGAGGAAAGGGCAGCTCAGGGTGCTGATACTGTATTTTCCTGTCCACACGGCCCACCCACCGCATCCCTCTGCTCCCCCACACTCCCTGCCTCCCCAGTGCCACCCAGTGATGGCCACCCTCCATCCTCAAGCCAGGTCTGGCCCCACTGGATTCTTCCAGGCAAAAGAAATTTCTCCCTGCTCCCCGAATCCCAGAGGCTGGGAGCAGGATGCATCTCTGAACCCCAGCTGCAGCTCAGAGGAGTCATCTGGTCAGAAGAGGGAGCTGGGAGGCACTCACCCTCACAGCCGTGCTGGTCCTGGGTGGGCGTGAAGCCCTCATCACAGACGCAGACATAGGAGCCCTGCAGGTTCTCACAGGCCCCGTGGGGAAGGCACAGGCCCGGGTCCTGGCTGCACTCATCTATGTCTTCAGGGAGTGAGGGGGACAGGAAGAGCTGCTCAGGGGGAAACCAGCCCCTTCCCCTGGGGGTGTGCCTCAAGGACCTCACACAAGTTCAGAACCTGAATTTCCACTTTGATTTCAAAGTACACACAACAGGAAGTCCTCTCCTGTCTGTTTGCATGTGGGGAGATGTGTGAACATAGGCAGACTTTATGAATCCTAAAGTGAATTTGCAACTATTGTGAGCAGATGGTCAGTCCCACTGACAAGAGAATGAAGTCCTAACTCTCAGATCAGCATTTGAGAACTTTTTCATTTTGGTCTCCCAATATCTTTAATCCCATCACCCTTTAAACCACCAACACCTCTACTCTGTGTTTAGGGTACAGGGGTCCACTCCCTCCTAAAAACACAACTAGCTCCTTCCAGATCTCTGTGCTTTGCAAATACTGTTCTTTGGGTCTGGAATACCATCCCATGCTTCTCTCTCTGCCAAGAAGAGAGAGGGAACATGGTTATGCTTCAGGGAATCCTATTTATGCTTCAGGTTCTGATTCAACTTGTCAGCACTTTCCTTGCAATGAATCACTAGCTCAGACCACTTTTGGCACCCAGCACCCTGAACGGTAAGAATCAGTTTACACACCAGCCTCCCCGAGCTGGGAGCCCTGGGTCATTGCCAATAAATAGTAGGTTCTCAGTAAACTCTTGTTGGATGAATACATGTCAAGGTGATTTGACACACAGAAGGCACCGCGTAATTACTGTCATTGTCGCTGTTATTCTAAGTAAAAGAGTGGAAGGATGACTGAGTGGATGGATAGACAAAAAGACAGACAGATCAACAGTGTGCCTAGGAGATGGCTGCTCCCTGCCATTCCCCCTCAGGAGCTCACACCCAATCCCTCCATACCTTGACACTTCCTGCCGCCTACCAGCCGGTGCCCCTGGGGACAGAGACATCGGTAGGAGCCATTGGTGTTGATGCAATCACCCCCAATGCAGGCTGCAGGGAAGTCACACTCATCAATGTCTGTAGGGGATCCAAGAGGTGGAGAATCTCAGGGGCTGCTCCTCACACAGCTGAGGCTGCCAAGGCTTCCCGCAGAGCCCAGGTGTGGCCCACACGCCATGTCCCATCTTGGATGAGGATGGGGGCCAGACCAGGAAATGGTTGGCTTGTTTACAGGTAGCTCCTGGACTTGGGGCCTGGGCAGTGGAGGTTCTGGAGGAGGGAGGAATAGGCCAGCCCCCCAGCTGTAGATGCCTCTTACCTTCACAGCGGCTCCTGTCCCTTGACAGATGATAGCCAGAGAGACACTGACACTGGAAGGAGCCTGGCGTGTTGGTACAGATGCCATTGTCACACACGTCCCCGGACTCACACTCGTCCACATCTGCAGGGCACGGGGTGGGGGTGGGGGTCAGAGGGCCAGGGTGGAGGCAGTGTCACAGGCCTCTACTACCCTTTCCCACTCCTGCCCTTGGCCTGGAGGTAAGAGCTGAGGCCAGCAGAGCTCAGGAGAAGCACGGGACCCTCACCCCACTCCCAAGTGGGACACCGTGCCCCGGGGCCCAGGCCAGGTGCTGCCAGGGACCCTGGCCCTGTCTGATTCCAAAAAACGTGGGCCTTCCTCTCCTTTGCTCATCCTCACCAAACAAGAGGCATCTTTCTGCATCCCCTCTTCCCATACTGCCCTGGGCTTCCTCTCACTTCTGCCCTTATCCTTCCCCCACCTGCCCTGGCTCCCTTTCTTCCCGTGTCAGTAATGCTTCCTGCATGTCTGTCCTTCTCACAGGAAGGGAAGGAACCGGGCTCCCCGCTGAGAACATGCTGCTCCACAGTCCTCTCTGGTACAAGACTGATGTTGCCCACACCCCAGGCTCCTTCCAAACCATGGAGGTGCCCCTGGCCCTATGCCAGCCCCCATGCTCTATTCTATGGCTGTCAGCACCCACCTTCCTAGTCCCTCTCCCTCTGTCTTCCCCCTCATCCTAGAAGCTTTCAGCATCCGTGTGGACAGCCAGGCCCAGCCTCTGACCTTGATCCCTCGGTTGTAACCACCTCAGAGGCAGCCGCTCCCTCTCGGGACAAGGGGCTGGAATCGGCCCCACCTTGGGCATCTGTCCCAGAGGCTGCTTCCTCCCACTGCCTCGGCTGTTCCGGTCTCCTCTACGCCCTCTCCCAGGGGCCCATGGCCACCTCTCCTCTCTCCACTGGTCTGGCAAAGACAGAGCCACGGCCTGCCTCTCCGCCTCCGGATCTGAATGCTGAGTGGGGCTCGAGCCAGCCACCAAGCTGAGCGCACTGGGCCATGGCCTCTCCCTCTGGCCAGGTCCTGTGTGGCTATGGCCACCCTCTCCCCTCCTCTCCAGCCTTGACTTCTGGAAAGCCCCTAGGGCAGTTCCAAACCTTGACTGTTCCCCAGTCCCCTACTCAATTCTGGCCCTCACGTTTACTTGAGAGAATTAAGGGTGATTTTTAACCTCCTGAAAATCATTATCTCCATCCATTCCTTCCTGGTCCAATTAGAGCAGCGGTTCTCAACCTGTGGGTCGCGACCCCTTTGGCGGTTGAACGACCCTTTCACAGGGGTCTCCTAAGACCATCCTGCATATCAGATATTTACATTACGATTCATAACAGTAGCAACATTACAGTTATGAAGTAGCAACGAAAATAATTTTATGGTTGGGTCACAACATGAGGAACTGTATTTAAAGGGCCAGAAGGTTGAGAACCACTGCATTAGAGCAAGAGATGGTCCTCCTACCCATGGCTCCTCTCCCAGCTGCCCCTGCTGTCCCGTGGCCCACCTTCCTGGCATCTCCTCTTCAGCCTAGAGCCCTAGAACCCACCCAGCGACCCCAGCTCCTGCTCTCCCTCGGTGCTCCCTGCATCTCCGACTCCCATCATGCCACAGAAGCCTTCTGCCAAGGCCACCAGGGACCTTATTAGGTCACCAGTAAGTAAGTTTATAAGAACCTCTCTTGCATTTAGCTCCTCCTCCTCTCCCTGGAAGCCTCCCCTACCCAGCTTCTCAGCTGTGCTCCTGGGCCATCCCACCACCCCTTCTCCCCGACTTCCCGCTCCTATTCCCCTGCCTGCCACTCTCTGCCAAGCTCCCCTCACGGGACCCACCCCCCTTGGCTGAGCATGCACACCCTAAAGTCCCACAGCCCCCACAGCCCCCAGTTCCCGGTGGGTGTGGCTGGCCCAGGCTTCCAATCCGCATGGCCCACCCTTTGCTGGCATCTCCAGCTGAGAGGCCCACAGGGACCACCCACTCAACTTGTCCAACATGAAACTTAGTGTCTTCCTTCTCAAACATGCCCCACTCCTGGGGAGCCTCTCCCAGTGAGAAGCACCACGCACCGAGTCACCCAAACTGGAAATCTGGAGGGCCCCTCCCGCCCTTCTCTCCCGCACCTGGACATCCAGTTAACTCTCTCTCTAATATCACACCATCTCATGACCACCCTGAGGCCACCACGCTCCCCACATCCACCAGCATCTCTGTCCTGAGTCTTTCCAACAGACCAGCCACTCTCCACCCTGGCATCAGGGAACTGTCTAAACTTGCAGCGGTTCTCAACCTGTGGGTCGCGACCCCTTTGGCGGTCGAACGACCCTTTCACAGGGGTCGCCTAAGACCATCCTGCATATCAGATATTTACATTATGATTCATAACAGTAGCAACATTACAGTTATGAAGTAGCAACGAAAATAATTTTATGGTTGGGTCACAACATGAGGAACTGTATTTAAAGGGCCAGAGGGTTGAGAACCACTGGAAAGCAACTAGTGAATCTTGTCATTCTTCCCCTTAAAATGCTTCAGGTGCCTCTTACCCTCAGGATGAAACTCAACCTCAGGGGGATGGGGGTGCAAGGGATGGGGACCTGCCCCTCACCAGCCAACCTCCGCCCCTTCTCCTGCTGGTACCTTAGAGCTCCCTGCACACTCTGCTCTGTTTTTCACCTCTGAGTCCCTCTGCCTGGCGTGCTGTTCCCTCTCACCCTCCTTTACTTGGCTAATTCCTATTCATCTTTTAAGACAATTCAGGCCTCCCCTCCTCCCAGCCCCGCCGCTGTTTCCCAAGAGCACCCAGACCGCTTCCAGGCCCACAGCCCTGTGCTCTACTGTCTGTGTCTCATGTCCCCAAACGGCTTCTTGGGGCATAAGAAACACTAGTGCAACGGGGGCTATTAATTACCCGTCCCCTCCATTCCTTTATCTTTTTTCTCCTAATTTAAGTAACGTGTTTTGCAAATGCAGCTCCTAAGACCCTTCCTACGCGGAAATTCTGGTGGCCCTTCCACGGCCAGGTTCTCTGAGAAAACGAGTGAACAGATCGGTGAACGGAGTGGTGACTTAGTCACCGCCTGCCCACCCGTCTGAGACCCAGCGACCCAGTCCCCGCCTTCGGGCTGTGCGGGTGGCAGGAGGCGTGGCGGGGCAGGGCTGCGGCTCACCCAGGCAGCTGCGGCCGTCGGGGGCGGGCGCGTAGCCCTGGGCGCACGTGCAGCGGAAGGAGCCCGGGAGGTTCTCGCACCAGCCGGGCGAGCAGGGGCTGCCCTCGGCGCACTCGTTCACGTCTGCGGCAAAGAAGGCTCGTCTCAGATCCGCCCCACTGCGCTGTGCCTCGTGCGGGCGTGGGGTCCCCTCCGTGGGGGCGGGGACCGTCCAATCCCGGGAGGCCCCGCCCCGGAGGGGGCGCTCACCGCCACGAGCCCGCCCCCGCTCACTTCAGGAGAACACGTGGAACCCTCGTGGGAGTAGCTCCGAAAC